AATTGTTGAGAGTCAATCAGAAAGAAGAGCCCAGCAAACGTACAAAAAGAGGATGGATGATATAAAAAACGCGGCTTTGGGTTGGAGCAATAAAGTAAACGGCAGATAATCAGAATTCGTATGAATGGTGGTATTTTGCGCTATAATGAAAAACACAGTTTACTTCCATTTCGAGTGAAAGTGTTGCGTGAAGAGATTCTAAGGTCGGTTCCTTCAGAAGACGACAGGATTCGAGGAATCTCTCCTTTCATAATTGTTGAGCTTACTTCCATTTCGAGTGAAAGTGTTGCGTGGAGAGATTCGAAGGTCGGTTCCACCAGAAGACGACGGCGAATTCCTCTTGACCAACTGTCGATTGGCTTTACTGGGACATTCATGCTGATGCTGTTTCCGAGGCAATCTCCTTCGATTCCGGTGAAAAGGTGTCATATGACGGACATCATCAGAGCGATGTAACATCGTCACAACAAAATTTAAGCTTACGAGTCAAGAAAACTTACTTCGGGTTTCGTACATAAGCGAACACTAACATGCACATACAAATACAGAGACAGACACACTCACATGCATAGAAGTGGATATATGACTGTAACTAACCAAATCACTTTATACTTGATCAAAGAGGCAGGATGCAGAGTAGATATTCCACTTTTTAGGAATTTGCCGGTGAGTTTTCTTGACACATTAGCTTCAATTTTGTTGATGTCCGTCATATGACGGACGAAGGCTTAGTACCTTTTCATCGGAATCGAACGAGATTGCCTCGGAAACAGCGTCCGCATGAATGTTCCAGTAAAGCCAAACGTCAGCTGGTCAAGAGGAATTTGCCGTCGTCTTTTGGTGGAGCCGACCTTCGAATCTCTTCACGCAAAACTTCCACTCGAAATGAAAGTAAGCCCAACAACGTCTCAAATCGTGTCCAAATGCCGTTGAAGAGGGTGTCCATCCATTCCGTCTCGATGCGGAGGACAAGCACGAATAGACGCTCAACCGTGCTTCACTCCGCTCCCTCCCTCGCCCCCCACCCCCACGCCCCGGCCCGTCCGAAGGGACAGCGGAGGCTTCTGCCTGACAGCTTTGTTGAAACCATGCCCTTGTCTCTGGGCCTGAATGTTTACTTACTGACTCCCTAAAAAAGGGGAAATGTACAGTCGTCTTCTCGTCATGGACGAAAATGCAGACCCCAACCGGAAGATTGCTCGGTTTTCAGAGAGAAAGCCGCTTTGGCCTTAATTTATGAGGCCATGCCACCCTCGGCCTCACGTCGGCCAGCTGATAGGCAAACACGCACAGACGCATGACTTTGCAATTTTTCCATAAAACTGGCCGTCTGATTAAGTCATTAGTAAACGGACGGATGGCTGTCTCCTGTCTTTCCAATAGACTTAATCATTTTGGATGAGTATATCAGTAGTGTAATGAGATGTATTCACCCTATTTCGTGTAAAGTGATGAAGGACTGATAGAAGAATTTTCCCACAATGACACGAG